GGCTGGGGGTGTTTAGTAGCCCTCGCTCCACCCCATTTCCACAGTCAACTTCCAGAAGGTCCACGGCTTCTCTACTGATATGGTTTCTTACAGCATGGTCAAATGAAGATTGATTGAGGGTTAATGGTGTAATGATTCTGTTTTACAGGCAGCCTGCTGGCACTTCTCTCAGTGAAAAGCCACGCTAAGAAGGCTACAGCCTGAGGGACCGAGGGCCTGTTTCTTTCTCCCACTTTTCCTTTCTCTAACTTCTAAATCTGTGTAACACTTTTCTCACGCCTTTAACTCCTTCACCCCGCGTTTTCCTCTCTCCTCTTCCTTCATCCCGAGTTTCTGCCGCTAATCCCGTGTGTTACAAAAGAACATAACAAATAAAATAAAAGTTTCAGCAGTCGAAGCAGAACCAGCAAAGTGCTTCATAATTAGAAAACGGCTCATAATTACAGCGTGGTCACGGGCTGTTAGCTCGCTCACTCAGCTGCCCTGCGTGGGATGGTGGCCTCCCATGATGTGCGTTTGTGTGTCAGCCTCCCTCAGAGAGGTCAGGCTGAAGCTGAGAAGGATAGCAGATGCGCTACCCCACACTTCCTATACACCAGCTGGGTGCTCTGCCAAAACAATGTAAACCTCACTCAAGGAACGACAAACATGTACATTTGGGAATATTTTGATCACACTGCTGTTTCTTCTTCAGGTGCACTGAGCAAACTATTCTTTCGCAAATGTTTGTAGGAGCATTCTGCATGCCTATGTGCTGATTTTGTACACTTTCCATGGCCACGACGGAAGTGATTGGAACACACCTGAATTCAATCATTTGAATGGGTGAGTGAATACTTTGGGCAATACATTGCCTTTCCCTATTCCTATGAAAATAGGCTCTAACTCTTCCACAGCTCTGAATTGGATCAGCAAAATGGATAAATGATGTGAAAAGATGAGAAAAAAAGGAGACAAAACACTGGTTGGAGCACCAGTATTAGTTTAATGTAACCCATATGGGATGAGGCTATTACAGACACTCAGGTTTGAATCCTCTAATTAGCAACAATTAACACAACCTGTGTTTTCTAGTGTCTAATTCAAAAAATTGGAGATCACAAGGTAACCCGACAGAAATCAAATTATTAATCTGGGTGTTTCCTAAAATTGTAAAAGTGAATTTCTATTTTCTTTGTAACGCCATCTTAACTTACATTTTTTTTCTACCTGTGCTGAATATATCCAAATAATTATTTTTATTATTTGAATATATTCAGGAGATCAAGTTTGGAATGAACTGAGTGACTGAGTTAGATTCCCGTTTGGCCTTTTTAAATGTTGTGAAATATTACATGGGCTGCTGCCATGTGAGCCGTTTACCTACATCGCTTGCCAGAAGGATGCAGACGGCGCCTTCTCGGTCTCCACGGCCACCCCCCGCATGAACGCTGGTTTCTGCGTCTGCCATTTGGCCTCCATCCCCTCCCATGACACCTGAGCATGTTAGTGACAATGGCCACAGGAGTGGAAAGTGGACATCTGGTGCACCTGTCCAGCACACACTCATACAGACTCCACAGCTCTCACAACTCCCGCTTCAGAGAGTGCACACTCAGGGTGTGTTTGTGTGTGATGATTTGGCGGTCATGCGTGGTGAAGCTAGGGATCATTGAGACCTGACTACTGGCTCGCCAACCAACTGGCCGACCATATGGATAGAAACTACTGCCCTCCTCTCGGCTCTCGCTCCTTCTTTTCGCCTCTTCAGCCCCGCCCAGCCTGCCTCTCGCCACGCTCCCCACCTGCCCAAGTATTCCTCTTTGCAGTAGCGCTCCTGCTGACTTGCTCATTCTTTTTAATGAATCATTGGGTTCACCTGCACCAGAGTGGAAATTCCACCCTCGTCATCCCCCATGTGTCACACTGGATTTTATTTCCTGCTCCTCGTGGAGATTTAGAGGGACAGGCAGGCGTGTGATGCATGGAAACTATTAGATGACATGAGATTTTAATCATTCCCCTGCTGAAGAGCGGGTGTTGCTTTAACAAATGATAATGTAGGGGAGAATAGAGTTTCAAAGATTTTTAAAAAGCTGTCAATTTTGATTTCTTTTTAAAGAATGCTGGCCCAGCAACACTGCTGACGAACTGAACCAGTCCTTAACAGCAACTACTACGTTAGCTTTTCTCATGAAGTAGAGAAAAATCGTTTTCTCTTAAAGTATATACTTTTTATCTCTTTACTGAAAAAGTAAAGTTGTTCAAGAAGACTTTTTTAATAGACATATTGCTAATAGTAGTGCTGTCAGTGTCAAGCTCGTTAAAATGACGTTAATGGCATAACCGCATTAACGCGGTTCGCACTGTGCGTGGGGCTGCACGGCGTCGATGCGTTAGCGCGGTTAAGGTGCGCTAACGGAGATTTGCCGCGTTAATGCGGTTATGGACAGCACTAGTAATTACAAAAACAGTTATTTGTTTATTATTATCAACTAAAGGGAAAAACCAGTGCTTTTTAATGGCGAATTAAACGGCGATGAACAAAACTTATTTATATTTTCTGTAAAGGTTGTACTGTCCTCATGCAAACTTTATTCTGTGCCTACAAAAATACTTCTTATTATTAAGGCTTAGGTTAGTGTGGATGGCAATACAGTCATGTGAAAAAGAAAGTTTTCACAGGACTGTGCAATGCTGTGAAAAAGTACATCCCTTGTGTCAGTAGCTTGTAGAGCCACCACTAGCTGCAATTATTTTCTGTTTATCTTTATCAGTCTCTCACATTGTTGAGAGGAAATTTTCTCCCACTCTTTTTGTGGCTTGCAGGCGTTCATGCATAGATTGATATCAGCATTTTGGGTTAAGGTCTAAACACTGGCTGGGCCATTGCAACATCTTGATTCAGCCATTCTGTTATAAATTTGCTAGTGGGCTTTAGGATCATCGTCCTGCTGCGTGACCTAATTTCACTTGAGCCTTCGGTGTTGGAAAGATAGTTTCACATTGAACTTTATAATATGTTGGTTAACAGAGGAATTAATCTTTGACTCAATGACTGGAAGGTGACCACATCATCAGAAACATCTTCACTTTACCTTCTAATATGCTATAGCAAATTAAGGCCAACTCTTGACACTTCCTCTACTCAGGCCAAACAATTTTAATCCGTTTCAGAGCTAAGGATATATATTGACTCTCAAAAGTAAAGAAAAAAAGATGAACAAACTTTGGATTAAAAGACTGCACACGGTGCTATATATAGCTACTGTATATTGCAAAGTCCCTGCCTGAGCTCAGCTTTCGTAATGCTTACATATGTGTTTTAGAAAATCTCTCTCGCTATACTGCAGCAAGGATGAAAGGCCTAGAAGCAGTTTGATCTGGACAGGTCAATAACGCTGCTGTTTGGGAAGTGATGGAGAATAAATACTATATCAAAGTAAAAGTAAATGCTAATAAGTCAATATTATTAACTACCTAACATTTACTTATTAAACCCAATAGTTTTACTGAATATCTAATGAGTTTAACATAATTAAGCGATCCAAAAATGGACAGCTTGGGTTGCTGTGGAGGAATTGTACGTAGTGTTGCCAACTTAGCAACTTTCTCGCTATTTTCAGCAAGTTTTCAGACCCCCTTAGCGACTTTTTTTTCTAAAAAGCGACTAATCTGGCAAACCTTTGCTGGTGTTATTGGAGACTTATGATGACTTTTTGACGTAAAAGCACGTATTGCTCTTACTCTTAGCAGGCAGCGGGTGCTGCCGTGGGCACCTCGCCCGTGCCAAGGTGCGGATAGTCCTCACGCAGCAGTGTTAGAGCAGATGTTCATACCTATGCGTCCAAATTGCAAATGGATCGCACATGTGTGAAGCCGTTGCTCCTGCCCTGACTGTAACGCAGTCAGTTTTTGTTTTACTGCTACTTTTTGTGGATCACAAGGTTTAAAACTAAAAAATACACACACAAAAGTAACTCTGCCAAAGTTCCTTTTTGGGGTCACTTTTGAAGGTCCCAAGCCCAGATAAAGGAGGTGGGCTGGAGTTGTGACACTAAAAAAAACCCCAATAATTGCTAAACGAAATTTAATTTGTAGTTCTAAATATATTCTAAATGCATTTAGGGTGTTTTTTACTGTCTTTACATCCCTTCCCAGATGTTATTTCTCTCTCCTACAACTAGGTTACAAATACATAAGCATAAGCATGCAAATTAGGCAATGACACCATTTAGTGACTTCTAGCCAGCCAATAGCGATTTTCCTTACTGAGGAGTTGGCAACACTGATTGTATAGACCTTAATCTTTGCTAGCAGCTGTGAACAAACTGGGTGGGTAGTGGCTAGATCACTCAATTCAACAAGTATCCAGTATTTGAGCTAAATTAACCAGGTGAAAGGCAACTTGATTGAAAATATCATATGAACGTTAAAACAGTCACGCTAACAATCATGCTAATGTCGCACCATTAGCCAGGCTGCCGGTTGCTAACACATACTCACTCTAGCCCTGCTATGGACTTCATCTGTGCTGTGTATAAAACAACAGGCTGTTAAAAGCTAAAAGCTACTAAATGTTTTACCTGGGGGTAACTGTAAAGTCTCAGTGCATTTATTAGAAGTGATAATACACGTTATTTGGTGTATTGCTACTCTAAAAATGTTCAATAGCACATCTTTAGATGACTTGTTAAAACACTGAGCACAGCAAAAAAGAAGCTAGCTTTGTTTTTGGCTCATGCTAGGTTCAGACATTGCTTTATATTTAGGCTACCTTTCATCTCCCTTTCTAAGAGATAAATAATCAATAATCAGATAGCCCTGCGATGAATGAGTGGAGATGAATGAGATCGATAATAAAGTTAGAAAATGTTGTAGTTTCATAAAGTTTAACACAAACAGCTCCCATTGCATTAGCATCTGATTTCTATCCTCTGCCGCTGTGCTCTGTCTCACACAGCAAAATTTCACCATGTTATTGATTAAAAATCCTGGTGGTGTATGATGAGCTGGCTAAATCTAATAAGCCCAACACAAAAATATTGCATTCACATCAAAGAAAACCAAGCCGTGGATAACAATACTTCTCTCCTCATCTCCATGCACCCCTCTGTGCTGGTAGGCCTCCATAAATCTCTACCACAGTCCTCCCAGTGATTTCTCTGCCCTTTTTATGACAAAGGTAACAATTAGTGTGAGTCCCAGTCAGCAGTGCTGCCTTCATACTTTGCTATCACATCACCCTGAACCTATTCCCAGGCTGCACTCACACGGCTTTGGCACAATGCTATTACTGAGGCCAGCCCATAGGAAATAGACTGAGAAGAGAGCTTATTGATTGTCTCTGTGTGAGAGCTCGTTGATTTTCTCTCTCACCTGTATCACCTACCTCTCTCTCTCTCTCTCCTCCCTTCATGTCTGTTGCTTTCTCTCTTCTTTCTCCTCACTGCATCACAATCCAAGGTTGCACCTGAGAGGAAAATCAGCCCACAATCATCCAGAAATACACACAAAAACGAAACTATCGCATTGCATCCAGCTATAGCATTTTTTTTCCCGCCAGGTGCATGCATGCAAAGACACCTGCATCCGAGTGTATACGCTTTATCTTTTCTAGTGCGTAACCTTTTTCGCGGTAGAGCGAAGGAATGTGTGCATGCGTGAAATGATGAGATCAAACCAGCAGTAATGCTCTGCTTGCTATCATTATTAAACCTTTTGATAAGAGTGAGTGTGTGTAGGGGGGAGATGGAAAGGCTGAGAGAAAAGGGGGGAAAAAATCGAAGCCATTAGGCCTCTCCAACACTTTACCCTGTAGTACTCTGGCTGTATCTTTTTCACGTGGGGAGAAGCTTTTTTGGCTTTGGCTGTGAAAAGAGAGTCAATTTATTATCTGCCCTTTCCCAACTAATTCTATTTCAGTGCTCACTAACACACCATTGTTTGATTTACAAGAGGCCATTTAATATTCATACGTGCCCGGGAGACATCAGACAAGCTCTAGAGAGACAGCTGGAGATTTACTGGCTTTTTTTTTTTTTGCCATTTCTTGCTCGTGTCTATTTGTGATGGAATCGTGGAAACATAAACTTGTTTCATCTGATTCCGATACGGTCGTCATTCGCAACTCAATCTCCATTTTTCATTCTTTTATTTTCGTCTCTCTCTCTCTCTCTGCTTACATCTATTTCTGCCTTTCAGGTTCTGTTTTCCCTTCCTGTGTGTTATCTGAAGCTTTTCTGAGCCACAAGTACAGAAACATATCGCTGATGATGAGATGGGGTCCTTCTACCGCTCCGGCAGGCGTCGTGACACATGCCCTGACTTTTAATGACCTGCCCGCTCCTTCAGGGGAGCGCACGGGGAACAGACTGGAATCCAAAGAAAATCCAGTATTTCTGAATGTCATCAAAACTAAACAGCAAAATCCTTTAAGGTCTTTAAAATAAATGTAAAAAAAAAAAGAAGAAGAAAAAGGAATGTATGTCAAGCCCAACAGAAGCAGCTGTGAATGTTGAAGAGGTATCTATGCGTTTTACGCTAGAAAGGGATTAATGGCGGGCGTTCGTTTGAGTGCAACCATGAGGCTTCTCCTCAGTGTGCATCTGCCTCAAAGGTGGAGCATGTTTCAGATTGGTTGGTGGTTTGAGGCCCAGATTCAACACTTCTTGTTTGCAGTGGCAGCAAGCACAACCTTTTTCCGTGACAGATCCTTATCCACACATGCCCTAACACATAGACATACATCGACACCTACATACGGGACTTTGACAAGCTGAACTTGTGTGCACCATCATCTGCACTCTCCGCTGGTTTTGCGTGAGTGTGTATATATATTGTGAATTTGTGTGTGTGTGTGTATTCGTGAACATTTCTCTTTGAATCTTTGTGTGTTCGCGAATCCTGTCTGGCTGCATAGAGGGGCTGAGGTGAGTGATTGCCTTGTTTCTGTGGGCGGCAAGCTGTGGCGGTTTGCTCTCACTGTAAATTTAGAAGAATTCTTAATGGAACTCCAGAGCTGTCAGGCCTCAAAGTGTTGTACCTTTTTTTTCCCCCGATGAAAAGAGCGATGACTAGATCCTCCGTATACAACCCGATTCTGAAAGTCAGAAGAAGACATCAGTTAATGCATATGTGTTGTGGAAAAAAATACCACAGTGCTCTTAAACAAATGCGTTTTTGCTGAAAATAAATTCTGCTGTAAACTGCATAATTGAAGCAATGGGAGGTGGGAAAATAGCCCACAGTTTTTTAGTCTCATACTCTTTAACCATCAGTAAGCGCACAGTAATTAAATAGATTAAGTGATGCAACTTAATCTATTTAAATTTAAAAATATTATTTTTTCCATTTTCTGACTTTTTGAGTTATTGATCGTTTTTGATTAAATAAACTACTTAAAAGCATAACTTCATTTTACTTAATTCTGTTGTTTCAGCATTAATGTGTGTGATCAGTAACATTTAAGTGCTTGTAGTGAAGAGTAATGGGAAAACAGCTTTATATGAGAACTGTCAGGATAAGAAGTGGTTGCATCAAAGATGGGGACCACTCGCAGTCAGTTCTCCATCTTTCAAGTGAATTTAGTGCGTCAAGATAGCAATAATACGGCAATAAGAAGCAGTCAGTCTGCTATCAGTCTGAATGAATAGGGTGAAGCTGCATATTATATTGCGCTAATACAAAAGTTGACTGTGATAAACTGGTGAAAATCGCAAATCTGTTGTTGTTCATACAAAGAAAGTTCAGCAAGAACCTCGTAGATCTGAAATATAAATTCAGACATTTCTCCACAAATAGTGACGCAGCTGCTTCAGGACAGCAACCTTGCTTTTATGTTTGAATATAACTA